CTCCCACCCTGGAGGCAGTGAGAGCTGCAGATGCCCTCACCTTGCATGGCAGCACTCAGCTGCCCAACAATCCCAAAAGCAAGATCTACTCCTAACATGTCCTCTAAGAGCCTTCACCTGAAGAGAAAACTGCTCTGTGTGTTCTGAGCTTCAGAGCCTGAAGCAGGAAAACAGAACCCCAAGGGAGAGATGCCCAGAGAACACAACTGCAAATTGCAGAGCTCCAGGCTGTGCCAGCTGAACCAACAGCTGTGGCACACTGCTTTTGAGAGAGGGGAGAGATGCTGAGGTGCCACAGAGCTGCAGTGAAAGGAAATGCACAAGCCAACGTTGTCCAGGGAAGGAGCCCCCACTGGGGTCCTGCTGAGCTGCACGTGCACCTTAGGCCTCCCTTGAGTCTTTCTTTCAAGCTGCACCTCAGGTGAGACAAACCAATTGTTTCTCTCTACAACACGTAAGGGCTGAGGACAAACCTAACAGCAGCATGAGCACATCTGGGAGACTCCAGACAGGCTTCTTGCCAAGGCCAGGCTCCTCCACTGACTCACATCTTGCTTCTAGTTATTTTTTCTTATCCAAACTCATTGTCCACTGGTTATCTTTCTTTTCCTGGCTAAAAATAAGTCAAACATCTTTATTTGTGTGCCTAAATAACACATTACTGTAACCTTTCTCCTTGTGAAAGGAGAAAGTTCAAGACTCCCTTTTAATTTTTCCCTGTCCCATTCCAAGCTCTTTGTTCCCTGGCACATGGGGCACGCTGCTTCCTGCCCTCTTCTGTCTAACTGAGCTCAGATTAATTAGAAATTTTTTTTATTAAAATAGCCATATTTATTTTTAGATAGAATTTTTTTATTAAAATGCTAAGCCCCTTCTTTCTCCACAAATTAAAACCAAGATGATAGATATTTTCTTCTGAGTGGTGGTTACAAAAATAGTACTCAATCTGTGTGGTGAATGTTAGGAACTTTAATACCCATTTAATGAATTGTTTTCATGTCAGACTGAGCATGGGGTTTTCTTTTGTGAGGTTGTTATTAATGTATGTGAAGGAGGACTAGGAAGCTGCCAGTGAAACCAGATGTCATCTGCACCAGTCCCAGTGTACATGCTTATAAAAATCAACCACAACCCACCAGAACAAGAGGCCTTGTTGCAGAGAGCACAGACATACAAAACCAAGCTCATGAGCAAGTGGAATCACATCAATCTCTGTTTTACAGATAACAACTGACAAGCCCTGGTGTCAGATCCATCATCTGCTGCAGCCTCTTAGTGACTCCACAATGGTGGCAGGACTCAGGACTGGAAATGCACAGCTATGAACTGGCTGCCTGCCCACAAAAAATCCCTGTTGGCTCCTTCCCCTGGCATTCATAAGGCTATTAAAGCATTTCCCACTCACTGCTTACAGTGTACTGATAATTAGACACCCTGGGACAGTCTGGAGGAGCTCTCTGCATCCTGCAGCTCCCACACCCAGCATCCTCAGTGGGCTCTGCATGCTTGTGGAACCCCTTTCAGCTCTAGCAGAAGCAGACAAAGTATCTCAGCAAAGCTTCAGCTGGAAAACACAAGCTCATACTGAATTCTGTAACTTAGGGAGAGACTGATTTGGGTAAAAGAATATAAAAACTAAGAAATGTGTGTGGACATACAGTTCCCCCCTAGTGGCTCCCCTAAAATCCAAGAACTCTGTCCCAGCATTTTGCAGCACCAGTGCTCTTTCTAGAACTCTAGACTGGCACAACAACTTGCTGAGTCAGCTGTTAATGCTTCAGGTTTGACTCACACACAGTTTTAATCAAGTAACCTGCTCTCTGGAGCTCACAGAAAGCTCATTTAGGGAAGAACATCAACAGCAAATTTGTCATCTTCAGAGGGGGCTGGGAGTTTTCCTCCCACTTCAACATTTACCATCTTAAACTGCTCTTTGATGAAATTCCCTTATGCCTCACACAGCTCAGCAGGGTTTGCCTCTCCCAACCCTAACGTGTGCTCCTGGCCCAGGGAGCTCCTCCTGCCCTTTTCCCAGGGGTGAGAGGGTGCCAAGGACAGTCACAGCAGCAGGGCACAGCCTGGCATGCTCTATCACCACTCACATGTGCCAGACCCCTCAGAAGGGCTGGAAGAGGCAGGACATTCCTCCACACCACTGCTGTGTCATCCCCCTCACCAAGACTCAATTTATTCCTGCTTTAGATGGGGAGCACCCCTAAAGCCCCACTGCTGAGTCTCTCCACGTGCTTCAGCAGCACTCGGTGGCAGATCTGGTAACACCTGCAGGATGAACCCCTTGGGGGCTCAGCAGAGCTTCAGAACTGAGCACAGCTGAAGCTGGGGCTACCCCTGCACCCCTGGGAGTGCCCAAGGCCCAGCTGGATGGGGTTTGGAGCACCCTGGGATAGGGGAGGTGTCCCTGCCCATGGCAGGGGTGGAACTAAATGATTTTTAAGATCCCTTCCAAGCCAAATCAGTTTGTGATCCTATTATTCTCTAATGCTAACCAAAGACAACTGGTGCATGTGATGCCCTCCAAGAAGCTCTGCTGTTTGTAGTGTGCACTAACAGCAGCACTGCTGCTATCCCTCCACTGGCCAAACATATTTGCAAAACAAACACAGTCTGTGGAGAAGTTGTAGAGGGGAAGGAGAGAAGAGAGCCAGGGAAAAAGAAAAACTGTAGCAGTTGGAAATACTTAAAGTCACAGATTCTGGAAAGAAAACTTTGCCTCCTCCTCAGGATCCCATCCTTCAAGTAGGGAAAACCCAAAAACCTTGTAAATGCTACTGCAAGGGACAAAGAAGGAATAAGAGCTGCTAATTCTCCCTGGCCCTCACTATGCTTTCTCAGCTCATGTCTACACAACACTGGGATCATCTATCCCTTTCCAAAAATACTGCTCATTTCCTGTATTTCTGTAATTCTATCCCCTGGCATCACACACTACCTTAAGTCTTTGTTTCCTCATCTCAGCTGGATGTACTTTCTTCCAACAACAATGGCACATTCTATAACAAAGCCCCCCAGCCCCTGAGTTCAACTGCTATTGAATTTATCTCTGCTACAGCACAAGACTGGTTTGAAAGAGTGAGTCATTCAAATTATTTAAAGTCTTACACATTTCTGAAATTTTAAAATGTGGTGTAGGAAGAGAAAGAAAACCTCACTGCACACAGAGGCAGAGAACGACCCAGCTACCTGACATTGTGCACCCCTTCTGCACAACCCCTACAGGGTTTGCCTCCTCCTTCTGAGTTTGCAACAACCCCTGTGAACCCTCTCTTGTGGGCTGTCTCCTTTTCCCAGCCCTTTCCCACCTCTGCAGTCCTTGCTGTGCTGCTGAAGTTGCTGCCAATTTACACTGGCCTGCTCTGTGCTCAGCAGCAGATGCTCCATGACTCATGCAGTGCTTGCAGATGCAAGTTATCCATAACAGCACCCTAATTAACAATACCAAATGTCAGCTCTCCCATTCAAACATGGACATGCTCATGTGTATGACCACGCTATTTTAGGAGGCAGTGTCTGCTCCCTTGGAGTGTCCAAGGCCAGGCTGGATGGGACTTGGAGCACCCTGGTCCCATGGAAGGTGTCCTGCCCACAGCAGGGGGTGGGATGAGGCCCCTTCCAACCCGACCCATTCTGGAATTCTGTGACAAAAATACAAAGGGAAAGTCAGAGATGCTGATTTTCACCTATCATATGAATGATTTTTATTGAATTTTGAGTGTCACAAAGAGCCAGACATTCAGAAGAGCCAGGAAGCAACCTGACCTTGAAAAAAGATAAGGAAAAACTAATGAATGACTTTGAACTGCTAAGGGCTAAATTACACACACACACACACACACACACACAACAAACAGAGTCCAGCTTTGAGATATGGTCTGGGTCAAACTGTACTAGGCTGTGGTACACTTCCTTAATGGAATTTTAAGTACTCACAAGCAGAGGTTTTCCACTTCACTCCAAAGCTTTACCTGTCACTGAAACACCAGGGAATTTGAGGATTACACGCAAAAGCCCAGCATAAAGGAGAAACGGCAGCTGGCCTTTTCCTGCGGTGATAAGGCGGGAAGGGCTGCAGGCCCTGCGTTTTCCAGGGCCGGGCTGGACATTCCCGGGTGCCTCCGGCTCCAGCAGGGACCGCGGGACCCGCCCGCCACCTGCCGGGCACAGCCAGGCGGCAGCGCCAACCCCGCTCGCTCCCTGCGGCACTCAAACCACTCAATACTGCACGACCCGTGTGCCCAAGAGCTGAGAACACGGTACCGGGGCAGCAGCTTGGCTTCTCGGGGTTTCTGGGTGCTGGAAGGCCGTGACCCATGGTCCTGTGGCTGATCAGTATAAACACGTTTTGCTCCCTGCTGCACTGTCTGCATCCTGAGCCTGGTGTCCTGAGCTTGGTAGAGACAGCCTTGGAAGAAAAGCCAAAACCAGTCTCTGAAGCCCTGAAGGGGCTTCACAAAACCTCAGTTAATAGGTTAGGAAAGTGATATAAAACAACAGAAACACAGACTGGTTTGGGTTGGAAAGGACCTTAAAACTCACCTCATTGCAGGCCCTGCCATGGGCAGAGACACCTTTCACTAGCCCAGGGTGCTCCAAGCCCCCTCCAACCCGGCCTTGGTTGGACTTCCAGGGATCCAGGGGCAGCCCATGCCAGGGCCTGCCCACCCTCCCAGGGAACAATTCCTAATTCCCAAGATCCCATCCAGCCCTGCCCTCTGGCAGTGGGAGCCATTCCCTGTGTCCTGTCCCTCCATGCCTTGTCCCCAGTCCCTCTCCAGCTCTCCTGGAGCCCCTTTAGGCCCTGCAAGGGGCTCTGAGGTGTCCCTGGAGCCTTCTCCTCTCCAGGTGAGCACCCCCAGCTCTCTCTGGCTCCTAAGCAGAGGGGCTCCAGTCCTCCTGATACAAAAGGAAGTTAAAATAAAATAAAAAAAGCCCATAATGGAAACAACCCCCTGGAATTTAGCTGAATAAACAAGCAGAGTAAAGAAGTTCATAGAAAAGATTTATTGCTTGGAGCTGTCTTTGGCTGTGTGCAGGACTAGCAGGAGGCTCCCCAGCTCAGTCCAGCAGCTCGTCTCTCACCAGCACAGGGAAGCGCCGGCCCCCCTCACAGAGCTGGCTGTGGATGGCCCGGAACAGCCCTGCAGAGCCCTCCTGCCATGGCCTGGCCTCCAGGACAGGCAGCAGCTCTGCCATCATCACCTGGCAGAAGCAAAGGAGACACTGTCACCAGAGTCAGCAGCACTCTAGAACTCCTTGTAGTGGCTGCATAACAAGTGAAATCTAATCAGAGCAGTATGACTAATAACAGGCTAATTGATTGATGGATACTTTCTTTTGTCATATTTAATAAAGGCAGAGTGGTTCATTTTCTGCTCATGAGCTCCCTCGGCAGCCACCCAGCATTTTCAGAGCAGAGTCAAGTGGCAGTGCTGCTGCCCTGCTGCAGGGAAGGCCCAGCACTGGGATGAGATCAGCATCCTGCAAGAAACTGCAGCTGGTGCTGGTTCAGGAGCTCTGCAGCCACACAGTGAAGTGTTCACTCACCCAAGGGTAAAGTTCAACCCCTCACTCAGCACTGTTCACATCACCTCCCAGTTATGCCAGAGGTGTGAGTGGCAACTCCAGCCCAAAGAGGCCACAGGGACTGCTCAGGCTGCCCAACATTCCCTGGCCTGGCTGCTGCTCTGTTAAGCCTATGCTGGGATCTCAGCCCATGCTGTCACACAACCCAGGGCAGCTCTGGGATTAGGACTCACTGACTGACAACTCAAGCACAGGTCACTTCAATCACTGGACAAAAGCTGGTCTTTGGTACCCCACTCTTGAATTAATGCTTAGACAGACATTTTGCCTGGGATTTTCATTTTTTTCTTTTTTCATCTGGCATGAGGTTATGAAGTCTGAGCAGCCTGCACACCAAAACCCAGCCTGTTACACACTGCCTGCTCAGGAGAGAGGACAACTGCATGTGTCAGCCACCTCCCTAAAGGCTGCCAGAGCTCCAGGAGTGTTTGGACAATGCTCTCAGGCAGAGGGTGGGATTCTTGGGCTGTCTATGCAGGGCCAGGAGCTGGGTCTCTTCCAACTCAAAGTTATTCTGTGATTCCATGATTGTTCCCTGCTGGACGATACAGAGGAAGACCCAAACAGAATAGAGTACAGGATATCTGCAGGGGCTTCCCTCTCCTGTTCTACACAAGTCTCTGTGCAGGGATGGGGAGCAGGACACAGCTGCTCATCTCTGGGAAGTCTCTTTCTACAGACATGAAAGCTACCTAAGGGGAAAGCTGGCCCATGAAGGAGTGCTGCACTGCTCCACTTCCATCCACCTGCTCTGCTCCTGACACCTAAGAAGAAACAGATCTTCACCATCAAAGACAGGCTAAGAGCTACCAGGAATTTCTATGATACTTGGCATTTCTCCATGGAAAGGCAGTGGACAGGCTGTGCCCAGAAACAGGCACATCCTTTTCTGGGGTATTTATCTTGTTCCATGCCCACTTACTTCACCTTATCCTGCACACTCTGCACAGGGCTGCTTCAGACTCTCAGGGCTCACATGGCACAAAGCATCTATTTGGGTACATGTGCAGAAGAAACTGTGTCAACCAACAGAGCAGCAGGAATCAGGCTTTGGTCACCATTTCATTTTGGGCAGACAAAAGAACCCCAAACCCTTCATAATCCATAATTCAGGATTATAATGCTGAAATCCCATTTGAAGTCAGGTAGCAATCTGTCTTCAGCCACAGGGCTGCAGACAGTTATTAATAATGCCTCTGGCTTACAAAAAAAAGACTTTTCCAGAGTCTCTATCACTCAAGTCAGTGGCAAAGAATAGGTCAGAGGAGGAGATTTGATTTCATAGATCTTCTCTGCCCTTTGCTGCTGGCTGAGAAGAACAAGTAATCCCTGTGTGGCAAACTCTCTGCTTAGGCTGCTGAAGAAGCTGACACCTCCTACCCTGTTCTTACAGTCTCAGAATGGTAAAAGCAAGATTAGCAGCACAGTGGTTTGAGATTTAAAAGGAAAGGAACAGAGAACAGAGGAGCTCAGGTGCACAGCAGAAGCTGGAAGTTACATAGGGGGGAATGAGGGAGTGGGTGCCCTAATAGGGCTGTAAAGGCCTGACAAAAGGGGCATTATCAACAACATCCTCCTGCCAAATTCTTTCAGAATACATAAATAAAATCTTATCAGGAGAGGGTCAGGCATGTAAGAGCCTCTGCTCTGACCCTAACAACAACAACAACAACAAAAGTCGCATTCACCAACAAAGAGAACACGGCATAAACACAAAAACATCACTGGAGGAACTTGCCATGCTGCTGCTGCCCATCAACACCTTGTACAACAGCTGCTGCCCCACAATTGTCCTTTTCCTTCCCTGGACTGGGAGCACTGACACTTCTCCAGACTCACCTTTTGTAAGGCAATCTCTTGGTGCAGCATTGACACTTGCAGCTTCAAGGCAAACAGGTCCCTCAGCTCCTGGAGACTGGAGTAACAGAGGAGAGGCACAGCCAGCATGTCTGCACTGTCACATGTCTGTCCCCTGGCAGGGACACAGGCTGGAGAGCAGCTCCCCACATCCCCAGGGCAGTCTGGGCACAGCCTCAGCTGGGACTGCAGAGCTGCCAGGGTACAAGAAAGGGCAGGAGACAAAAACATACCAGTTAAATCTGTACTTGCATACTTTATGATCTACTTACTGTTCCCAGAAACTGATGACTAAAGACACTGTATTAATCAGGGTAAGCTCCTCACACATGGCACAATCAGGGCACCCTAAGCTGTGGCCTGCATTGTCCCCTCCCCAGCCCACTTGAACTGCAACTGCAGTTCAAAGCTCCAAGTCTCTCCTGGACACAGAGGGGGTGACACACAGGTACCACGGATTTTTTTGCCACCAGAGACTTAAGTTCTCCAATACCATAAAGATAACCAGGAGCAAAATGACCTTGGTCCAGTGTCCTGCACACAGATGGCAAAGGGCCACGTTCACACCTGGCCACACACACAGGGACTGTCTCACCTTCTTGCAGCAGCTGCAGCTTCTGCAGGCACTGGGACACTGTGCTTTGCAAACCCTCCAAGGTCAGAAGGCTTTCATACTCTCCTTGCAGAGTGGGAGGATCTACAAGAGAAGCAGAGAAAAAGTGTGAACACTGGAACCTTCCTCCCCTAACAGCTTCCAGAATGGCCTTGGGTTCACCAGCCTTCAATTCAGGCAGAGAATATCTTGGGATATCTTGGGATGTGCTGTCCCTTGTGTCCAGCACATCCCAAGAACACAAAACACGTGGAACTGAGCCCAAACCATCCTTATTCTACCTTGTGCTCTCCCACTGCTCTTTTTCCCTCCTTACCTGCAGGCTCAGCTTCCATATACTTCCTCAGATGGAAGAGGACATCCTGGAGGCCCCTTAATTCCTCCTCTATCTCTGCAGGACTGGGGTTCAGCTTCGGGGAGCAAAACTCAAACAGCAGCAGCTTAAGGAAGGTTCCACAGAATGCTGAGCCCCAGGCCAGGCCAGCTGCAATCAGGACAGAGGGAAGTGGCACTGCAGGGGGAAGGTGAGGACAGCAAGCACAGCTGTGTAGGGCATGCTTGCCTTGTGGCCACGTTTGGCTGGATCAGAAGTTTTGCAAGTGCCCAACAGCTGTACTGTGGGAAAACCCACTGCCTAGAGACCCAGCTGGAACTGCTGTTATTGGAGGCATAACTCTCTCCAGCTTGGAGCTCACTGCAGAGCAATTGCACCCTGTGCCTGCTAGGAAAGGATACGGTTGTCTGGATTCTCTCCATAAAACGGGTCCTTGCAGCTGCTGCATCTGCACTCGTTTGGCACAGGCGACATCTCTCCCATGCCCTGAAATTCCAAAGGGGCAGGAGGTGGAAGTTATGCTCCTTTGTACCAGACAGTGCTCACGCTGAGCTGTGACACACCAGTGTGGCACAGCAGTGCTTTAATTACAAGTGTCTCCCTCCCCCTCTCTCTCACAGGTTATTTACCAGCCATTCCCAACTCATTCCCACGGCTGCTCTCAGATCAACAAGGACACCCTGCAGAAAGCATCAGACCCTGCAGAAAGCATCACACACTGCAAAGCACCTGTTACTCTCTCCTCTTGTTTTGAGGAGAAAGATCAGAAGACAGACAGCACATTTCCATAAGCAGAATGTGAACTTCTGGTACATCCCTCATGATGCTGTATTGTCCTGCCTGTCTTTATACCCCAGAGGAAACAACAAATCTTCCCTTCCTTTCTTGGGAGTAAGTCATTTGCATTTCTGTACATTGGTTCTGTTAGTATAGGTGTACCAAATAAAACAGCAGACAGGACAAACTACTCTCACCCAACTACTTCATATTCCAAACTTCCTCAAGATTCTTAATAATCTTTGGGGGGGGGGGGGACAAAGTGGTATCTATGGCAAGGAGAATGACAGCAGCATGTCAGGGATGCAAGACAGAGGTTTAAGGGCAGTACCAGGAGGAAGCTGACTGGGACTTCACAACAGAGTCCACCAGTTTTTTAGATAAAGCACTGCACAAATAACAGCACTACTGTTGAACTCTCTCACAGAGTTCAACATCCTCATGGATGCACAGTCCCCATGATATCCTTTCCTTAAGGACTGTCTCCCAAAACCTGCCACAGCAAGTGAGAGCCATCAGGAGGAAGCTTAAAATAGTTCTGCAGTGCCTGACTAACTCGAGTGTGCATGTGTCTTCTCTCTAGCCTAATGGGTCTTTTAAATCATGTTAGAATCTGCAGATTTCAGAAATATGTTATGCAAAGAAGTGGCAAGGTTATTGGAACAGGAAAGAATAGAAGCTCCCAGGCAAGATGCAAATCCTCTACAAGAGATCTTTAGTGCAAAGGTTATTCTCAATCTGTTGAAAGCAATAGTGAGAAGTATAAAATTACACCAAAGTGGTTGGAATGCTAAAAGACTCAATTTCAAAGTGAAAATTAAGGGTATAAAGTCTTTACAACTTGCAGAAGGGCAACTAACAAACTGGTGCCTGATAAATGACAGTTTTCAAGAGGAGGAGGAATTCTTGAGGGCAGCACAAGGGGCTATAGTTAGATTTAAGAAAGGGTTTATGCTTAATATCTGAACAAAGCACATAATGAGCATCAGAGGAATTGTGGGAAACCCTTCCAGAAGACTGGAGAATGGACTAGAGCATGCAAGACCCAACCTCTGGCACCATCCCTGCAGTAACACTGCAGCTGGCTTAGTGTAAGAGTTCAGCAGCAGGAACCAGCCTCAGACACACACAGGAGTGCTGCTGCCAGGCTGCAAAGGCAGGCCAGGGATGGTCTGGGAAACTCTCATCGGATAGTGTATACAGACACCCATCCCACGGGGTGTCCTGCCTTCAACAGGTGTGTGCCACCAGCAGAGGCTTCTGCTGCACCCTCAAACCCACAATTAAAACATTCCAGGAACTTCATGACTCAGTGATTAACAGTAATTAGCACTCAAAGAACAAAAGTAGCACTAGTGGCCACAATAACAGGAGAACACATCCTCAGCAGCAGCAGCCTTGCAGTACGAGAGCTCTTCCTGCTCCCAGTTCAGGCCCTGTGGGGTCACTGCCTCCCGGGCACAGAACAGCCACACCTGACCCCTCTCACAGCCCTGAAGCTCAGGGGAGTTCTGGGCTGAAGTGGTCAGACTGGTCTTACCTGGAGTTCCTGGAATAGGCTTTCCTGTAGGGAAGGGGGAGCTTCAGCTGGCATCTGTGAAACAGGACAAGGATCAATCTTGGCAGCTGGAAAGCAATTAACTCAGCCTTGTCTTCCAACAGGGAAAATGGTGCTTTGTCAAAATCTGAAATTAATTTAGCTGCAATGGGAGATGTCAGCAACTCTGGAGATTGGATCCACCAACTGTCTTCAGATTGTCCTCAAGGAAGGAAGATTAGGTTGCTCATTGGACTCCACAGGCATCATGGAGCTGAGCTGGGAGAGCTCCTGCATCCTGGACCAGAGGTTCATCCAGGGGGGCAGCTGGGAGCAAAGCCATGGCACAGCAGAGTACAGACATGGAGACAACACCTGCAGGGAAACTGGTCTGCCATAGCCTCTTGCCCTGCCTCAGCTGCACAAGGCAGCTTTGCTTAGCACCGTGTCACACTCAGAGAAATAGGAAAGGGACAGTCCAGCTTCCACTGGGAATATGATTCTTAACCCTGAAGCAGAATAATCCCTAAATTGTTCCTACAAAAACAGGAGGGTTGGCAGTTGTTAGTCACATGCAGACTAGGAATGCAAGGCCACAGCGGGGAATTTAAGTAAATGTTTGAATCCAGATCCCCGTTCCTACAGCAACTGTCACTGAAGTGTCCTGGGGCCCTTCCAATGCCAGTGAAAAGGGATCATTTCCTCCCTGCACAAACACAAGAGTTAGGTTGTGGTGGCTGAGAGAAATACTCCTCAAACCTTTCCAGATGCAGATTGAACTTCAGTGCTGTTAAAGCAAAAGAGGAAAGAAATTACTTAAACAAGACAGACTGGCATGAAGGCAAAGCCAATCTTCCAAGTATTATTTTGCCACTTTTCCACAGAGAATCTCAGTAACATTCCCTTCATAATCCTTCCTGCACCAAACCCCTAAAACAACTGCACTTTAGTCAGTCCTGGTTTGTGTAGTTACATGGGCAGTATGTTACAGGTTAACAGGGACAGCATCAAACCCAGATGCCATCACTCCAAACAGCACTGGGCACATGCTTGAGAGAGAGAGAGAGAGAAAAATCATGCATTATGTATTGTCACTGTGTAAAAAACAGAATAAATAAAAAAATCAATATGCTATAATAGACAGTACACTCAGAGGAAAGCTAAGGCTCAAGAAAGCTCTATAGAGACAGCTTTCCAAAACACTCATAGGGGACTATGAAACATCAAAAGTCTTAATTGAAAGGCTTTCAAAGTCCCAGCCATTCAACAATAAGCCCTTAAAATGAAAACACTTACTTAACCACAATAAAGGCTTTTAAACTGTATAGGATCCTTCCTCTTCAGAGGGACGTGAGGAGGATGAAGCCAGGCTGGGACCCCCAGAGCAGCTACAGCCAGCAGGATCTGTACATGTGCCTGTGAGTATGGAGCAGAACAGGAGAGGTGCCCACCTCCCACACTTACCCCTTTTCCTGCAGGGTGCCTGTCCCTGGTGAGGTGCTCCTTCCCCATGCACCTGCAGCGTCCTCCTTTTTGCTGGACTCTCCCAGGAAACCACAACTTTTCTTCCCTGCATCAAGTAACTGCTTGCCAGCAACTGTGGAATTCTTTACTGCAGCTGAATCTCCTCCAGAAAAGCTTTGCTGCTCATTTGGGGCAGATTCAGACAAGCCAGGTGTCTCCTGGGGTTCAGCTGCAGCACTGACTTCTCTGGCACTAGCTGCTGTCCTGTGACTCCTTCCTTGTTTGGAAGTCACTCCTTTTGAGGAAATCTTCCCAGCTGTCCTGGGGCCTTGAGAAACACATCTGGCTGGGACTTTCCTTTGCAGTTTCTTCACATCTGGGTCAGTCCGGTAAGGGGCTCTTAACTGGTATGGAGAGGGCTTCTTCAACAACAAAGGCTTTTTGCTTCCAGCTCTCACCTTCCTGCACTCAGGAACATCCTCAACAGGTACAGGCACCTGCTGCTCTTCAGCTTTCTTGGGAGCATGTGCCTCACCTGCCCATTTCTGTCCTCTAGCTCTTTGAGCCTCTAATGGATTTTCCAAGATGCTTTTCCTGACCTTCAGTGCCTTCTCTAAGGCCCTGTTCAGCAGTTCCAGCTCCTCTAGCTCCTTGGGTGAAGGCCTGTCTTCTGCAAGAAGAGAAAACATGTCAGAAGGCTCAAACATGGATGTTCTCTATTTGACTCTTCACTTACTTGCTCTTCCAGGTGGCACAGAAGGAAACAAAACCTAATGACCGGTGCAGGGGTATTTGTTTAGCTGTGGGAACAGCCACTGCACAGAGGATGCAGGTAGGACTGCCAGAAGCTTTGAAGCCCCAGGATGGATGTGATCCACAGGAGGACACATCTCCCGAGCCAACCTCTACAAGTGACATTTCCACACATGGGTCAGGCCCGCAGTCACTTTATTGCCGGCCTTGGCTAACGAGACACGACTCCAAGCTAAGGGGGTATTTAAGTGGATGCAGAGCATTGGAATAACTCCTAATACCCCAACTGGCCCGGGGCCGGTGTGCCATGAGGGGGGACCGGCCCGGGGGAAGCGCTCACCATGCTCAGTGCTGGAGCCTGACTGTGGCTGTGGCCGCTCCTCTTCCTCATCATCCCTGGAGGGAACAAACAGCGACGGAGCCGGCGTCGCTGCCCCGGGACGGGACCAGCATCCCCGGCCCGCGGGGCCTCGGATACGGCTGCGGGACCAGCGCCCGGGCCGCCCTCCTCCCTGCGGGCCGCCCGGGGACGGAGGGGCCCGGGACGGGGCGCCACACACGCGGGGGCCGCACTCACCAGCGCCCCAGCAGCGCCCGGCTCCGCGCCGCCCGCCGCTCCAGCTCCCGCCGTCGCTCCGCGCCCTCGGCCAGCGCCGCCCTCAGCGCCGCCGCCGCCCTGCAAGGCCCAGCGCGGTCAGCGCCCCGCGGGACCCGGCCCGGCCCGACCCAGCCCTGGCCCCCTGCCCCCTGCCCCTCACCTCCGGCCGCGGCCCGCAGGCAGCATCGGACCGGCCGCGGCCCCGCCGCTGTTCCCGCCGGCCCCGCGCTCCCCGCGCTCCCCGCGGCCCGGCCAGGATCTGCAGCCGGGGCGGGGCCCGAGCGCGGCGGAGGCGGGAGCGGCCCCGGGCCTGAGGCGAGAGCGGCCCCGGGGCTGAGGCGTTCCGGGCGGCTCCGGTGCCGCTCCCCGCAGCGCCGAGGGTGTCGGGCAGAGGGGTCCCTGTGGCCGCTGTGCCTGCCCGGCGCGGGCGGGACAGGGCCGGGGATGCCCCGCTGGGCCCGGGGAAGCTGCTTTTCCCTCCGCTGCCTTCGGCGCTTCTCTCCCTTTCCTATCCCCTCTAAGGGGGCTCGGGCGCCGCGGGCCTGTTCCACAGCCCGAGGTATTCGACCTCTCCTGGGGTCAGGACCCCATCGGGATTTGTTCCCCTCAGCCTTGGCAGTGGAGAACACAGAGCCCCGCGGCTGGAGGTGGAGCGGGCCCGGGCCGGTGCCGGGTGTCCGCCTCTCCCCCGGACCGTGGCAGAGCCACCTTCGGCCCAGCGCACGGCAAACTGCTGCTGCCGCCCGTGCTTTGCGTCAGCATAAAAAAGAATTTGTGGGGGTTTTTTGATGGAGAGGGGAATCTGCCTTGCTCTGCGGCTGTGGGAGCAGCCGGGTTGGTACCGCGGGCTCCGAGTGCTGCTGGATCCCGTCAGGATCAGCTCTCGCTGCGGAGCAGTGCAGTTCTCCAGAACAGCCCGTAGCTGGCACTCGGCATTATCTGTTCAGGCAGCTAAAGAGCAGGAATCCAGTCCTCCCCCTTGCACAGCAGAATGAGAGTTAGCAAAAAGTTAGAAAGGAAGAAAGAAGTGGTTCTTTGCCTTCAATGGCTGAGTCTTGAGGTTGAGATGCTCGTGATTCTCTGCAACGATGTGACCACAGACTTTTTAAAAGAGAAGTTGAGAATTCCAGGTGATTCATCGAAACAAGACTTTAAAACCCCTATAAAATGATACAAAAAATCAGAAAAATCGTCACACATCGTGAGTTCCCAGATTCGCGAACTCAACATTTTTCCAATTGTAATTTGCACTTTTGGCACTAGCAAAGAATCACTTTGCAACTGAATTTGGCAAACAGGCTGGCCCCTTCCTGCCGTGAATCGTGTAGAGAAGTGAGTTCACTGTCAGAACTCTGTGAACAGTTATGCTTCTGAGGCATGAGCCAAGGTAGAGCCCAGCTAGATATCCCTGGGCTCAGTGGGGCTGACGAGAATATCAGACACTCAGAAAATAATTTAATCAACAAAGTCACCAGGTGCAATGCTGTGGGACCCTGGGAAGCACAGCAGCAGAACAAGAAGAGCTCATTTTCAGACAGCTGCTTCTCTATAATCATTAAATATCCTGAATCAGAAGGGACACACAAGGATCACTGTCCCTGCACAGACATCCCAACAATCCCACCCTGTGCCTGAGAACGGTATCCAAAACACTCCTGGAGCTCTGGCAGCCTCGGGGCTGTGCCCATTCCCTGGGGAGCCTGGGCAGTGCCCAGCACCCTTTAGGGGAAGGAGCTTTTCCTAAAATCCAATATAAACCTCCCCTGGCACAGCTCCAGCCTTCCCTCATGTCCTGTCCCTGGTCACAGAGCAGAAATCAGAGCTGGCCCTTGGGATGAAGCTGCAGGCCCTGCTGAGCTCTGCCCTCAGTCTCCTTCAGGCTGAACAAACCAAGTGCCCTCAGCCACTCCTCACACAGCTCTAGTTTCCTCGAGACCCTTCACCATCGTTGAGTCTCTCCTTTGCTCTCCAGTAACTTTAGATCCTCCCGATACTGTGGTTCCCAAAGCTGTGCCCGGGGTAGGTGGATTCCTGCAGGCTGGGACTGGCCAGGAGATGGAGCCCTGGGTTCCCGGAGCCTCCAGCATCACCTGCTGTCCCACGGGGAGCACAGCCTGGGCCGTGAGAGTGACACCTCTCCTCAGGCACCTGCATGCTGTCGGCATTTATTAAAAACAGTATTAAAAACAACCAGAAAAGGGATCAGGCTGCTGTAATCCGGGAAAGTCACCCGAGGCATGAAGCCTGCTGGAGCAGCACTACTGACACGGCTACCTTTTACATCAAGTCTCTGTGGTTTGGCAGTGCTAAAAATGATCCCCAAAACCCAAGGATCACTTTGAACAGGAGATAAATCAAGTGTGTGCTCCTCCTGAGCCTCTGGTTTTATGCAGGCAGTAGAATTCCCCCCAACAGACAGGAAAGCTTTAATGCAGGCACTTTGCTGTTAAGCTGCACCTTGCTGGGAAGGACAGATGAATATCTGCATGTTGGCTTAAAGTTTTAGGTGAGGCAAGGGCTGCTGCCATCACAAAATCAGGAAGGGCAGTGTGGCAGGGAGGGCAAGGCTTTACCTCGCCCCTTCCAGCTGCACCTTCGAGCACTGGTTAAACCATGGATGAATCCTTGGCAGAGACATTGGGGTGAGGTGAGAATTGGCAAGTGGAGAGCAGAAACTTCCTGACAGCTATAAAACCAGTCCTCTACTGATGCTCAGGGCTCAAACGTACTGACTCTGGACTCAGCTCAGCTGCTCCCACTCCCCTCCACACCTCTGTGATGGGCTGCTGCTGCCTCGCCTTCTGAGGCGTCTTGCAACAGGGCAGCAGCTGGGGAAATCAGTTCTTGCCTTCTCTTGTGGGTGGTTGGGTTTCCAGTGGATCATCTGACAAAGGCAGTTGAGGAAAAGGTCCCGGTGTGTGTATTTAACTCTTCACTGAGAGCATCTTGTGCTGGAGTGGGTAAATGCAGTGAAGAGCTGTATTCTGTTCATGTAGCAACAGGCCCTGCACCAGTTCAGGCACAGCTGGCATAGGAGACACTTGTGCCAGAGCCTGGATTTTAAGCTAACAGAGTCTGAACTGTGTTTCTGCTTCATGACATTTGCTTGCTGGGAAAATGCTGGCTCAACCTGGCACCCATGCTAAGTAACATTTCAACTGGTGCAAAAATTTAGTTACAAAAGACAGGTTAAAATACTTGTGTGATGTACAAGGGACTGTTGCTGGTACACAGCTCTGGCACCAGTTTTTTTTGGGCCTGAAGCCCTGAGAATCTTACATAGGTGAGATGTAATGGAAGTTAAAATGTCAGCACTCATTCACTGGTCAGGCTGACAGGTGCCAGGTGATATTCTGCAATCTGTATTTCTATTTTTCTGAGAGCCCAACTCTTAAATACCTGTCAGCTAATAAAAATAACTGTCCAGGCACTGGGATCTCCTGCTGGGTGCCTAAAGCTCTTTGAAAGCCGTGCCCATAACCCATCATGGTAGGATTCCCTGGGGTAAAATTCAAGTAGACATCACTTAGCAACAAGAAGAGAAAAAAATTAAGCCAGGAGATAAACTTAATCACTAATACACCTCCCCACACTTTCTATATTATTATTATATTATATTATATTATATTATATTATATTATATTATATTACATTACATTACATTATATTACATTATTCCATGAGCTGTCTTCCTCCTGCGTGCTGCCCGTGGGGATCAGTGCTCTTTGCTGAACTGACACAGGAAAATCCTCCCTATGTACACGGGCATGTTGTGGCTTAAACCCAGCCCTACACTACTCACTCCCCCCTTCCCAATGGGACAAGGGAGAGCATTGTAAAAGTGAGAAAAGTCATGGGTTGAGATAAAGACAGTTTAACAGGGAAAGCAAAGGCCATGCAAGAAAAGCAGAACCAGGAATTCATTCCCTGCATGTCCTGGGCAGGCAGGTATTCAATCATCACCAGGGCAGCAGGACTGTCACTGGTAACAGTTCCTTGTGATAGGAAAGGTGTGTGCTAATGTCTTTACACACAGTTCATGGGTGAGGGGATGGGTGTTAATGTCTTTGAAATGTTTCTTAATGTCTCTACCAGCTTCAAGTGAGGCCTCAGGTTTTAGCTTTTATAGTCTTCAGATTCTGTGCTGCTTTAGTGTGCACTTCTGATCTTTATATTAGAAGATAGTATGCTCTCTTTACCGAGTAGGTAGACTAAACAATTCCTTCTCTAGCTGGGGACCAAGGACAAATTATCCAAATCTCAGGCCCAAGAGCACAAACAACGTGGACTGGAGAGAAAAAAACAAGGAGGATGGGACTTCATGGGCTGGAGCTGTAACTGGACAATTAACTCCAATATACAAATGGAGCAGAACTCATAAAAGTGAGAGACCCCGTGCCTGGCCGTGCATTTTGTGACCATTTTGGGTCATCTTGGGTGCAGCCCTGCCTTGGCTCTTGTGTTGCCCAAGGTGGATCCATTGAGGCCTTCTAATAAATCCCTACTTTATTCTTTAACTCTGCCCAGTCTCTGTTCTAGGGCAGCCTAAACAGACAAGTGGGTCTGAGCTTGAGATTCTGAACTTTGGAGTAAAATGACAGGTTCAAGGGGGAGAGGTGCTAGGCTGTTCAGGAAGGCTGTGCCTTCCTTAGTGCCTCAGCAATGGGGGAGGAAGAGGGCAACATGTTGACTGGGAGTTTGTGATAAAAGGAGGCTGCACCCTCTGAAACCTCAGGAGAGAAAATCCCACGGGCATGTGCCCTGGTGGACTTTCTGCCTTTATTCAAATAAAGTTTCAGGATTCCTCTGTCTCCTTTATGGACCCAGGCTTTTCATAGTGGGATTTTTCATACAAGTCCAACCATTAACCCACCACTAAACCATATCCCCAGGTACCACATCTACATCTTTTTTGAACACCTCCTGGGCTGGTGACTCTATCACTGCCCTGGGCAGCCTGTGCCTGACTACCCTTACAGTCATTAAATTTTTTTCTAATATCCAATCTAAACCTCACCTGACAGAACCTGAGGTTGCTTCAGCTTCAGCTGGCTAGGTGAAAAATGCTGACAGCAGGGACACTTTCACTGGGAAATAGTCTGTATCCTCACCCTCCTCCTGAATGTTACATCGGATCAGCCCTGTTTGAAACAAGACAGGGAGGACAAAGGAAGTCTTCTGTGAATGAAACCATGGAACAGATTGTCAGGAAAATTAATCCAAAAACACCAGAGATTTTTGTCCAAAAAGGAGACAGAGAAGTCTCGTAACTTTATTTGAATAAAGGGAGAGGCTGTGGGGCATTCCCCTGGAGTCTCTCTAATTTTTGGAGCACGCAGCCTCCTTTTTATTTTAATTTCCTGGCCGCATGTCACTCTCTCTTTCCCCATTGGCTGAGGTACTTGACAGGTACAGGCTTTCTGAAATGCCCAATACCTGAAACACCTAATACCACCTTCTAATGTATAACTCCCCACCATTGCCTTTTCATTGTTGTCGCTCAGTGGAATTTCTTAGGGATTTTATGGTTCTTCCCATTGTTTCTTTCATCTCTCAGTATTCAATTTGATTTATCAGCAGACCTAAAGTTTGTTCACAGAGACAAATCTCTCATTCCATTTATCAATCAGTGAAGTCCTTCCCATTGTTTCTTTTATCTCTCAGTATCTAGCTTGATTTACCAGCAGATCCACAGTTTGTTTGCAAAGACATCATTCCTGTCAGGGTGGTGCTACAGTGCATATTGAAGTTCGAAAAGACTGCAGCTGAGGTGAGGAGATCCAAAAGAAAAGGGGATTCCTTCCAAACGTGGTCACCGTGTCCGTCTCGGAGCTGGGGCCCGGGGAGCTCGCAGTGCGGGAGCACCGCTGGGTTTCGCTGTCCCGCCGCCCTCGGGCCCAGCGCCGCTCCCTCACCGGGACACGGAGCTGCTGGGATGA